TATTATTATTATTATTATTATTATTATTATTATTATTATTATTATTATTACTAGTATTATTATCATCTTCATCATCATCATCATCATTATCATCATCATCACATATAAGAATGTATGCTTTCGAGAGAACTGGCTGCATCATTCATTATCATCGATAAAAGCAAGATGATTCAATTTCACCAACCTATTATTTTCAATTTTCAGAAAAGCGAATTTTTGCTATTTCTAAAATTTTCCATTCACTTTTACAACGAATAAATATAAAAGAATAATTTTTGTAAAGAAATTTCTCATTTTTTCTCCTTTTTTTGATTACTAAAAATTTGTAAATTTTCTACAAAAAAGAAAAAAAATGATTTAAGAAAGTACGGAAAAAAAAGAGAGAGAAGTAAAAAAAGTTTTTTTTTCATAAATCCGTCTAAAAATGTATGTGTTTTTTCAGTAAAAGTAATGATTCATTAATTTATTTCATTAATTTAAATTTATCGATTAATTTGTTCTTACCATTTTTGGCTTAAATCAAAAAGTTATATTATTTTATGCTCCAGTTTTCTTTTTTCTAGCAATGGGCAAAAAAAAAGAATGAATTGAATCGAAAGGTCAACTATTCCCTGTTTTTTTATTTTTTTCCTTGAAATCAATAAGTATTACGCATTTCTAATCATTGAAAAAGGAAAAACTGGCTATCAGTGTGATCTATTTATATTATCAATGTGATCTATTTCATATTCATTGTAATCTATTTATATTATCGATGTAATTTATTTATATTATCAATGTGATCTATTTCATATTCATTGTAATCTATTTATATTATCGATGTAATTTATTTATATTATCAATGTGATTCATTTAAATTAACAATGTCTTTTACGTTTTTATGTAGCGATATATTATATTACAGAGAAAATAAGGATGAAAGGGATAAAATAATATATTAATAACATAATCATAAATTAAAATTACGAAAGAGATCAATGACCAACACAAATATTTGCAAGCCTTTTTTTTCATTGAAATTAACATTTTTTAAACTTGTTGCACAGACAAATGCGCACTTTTTTAACTGATCAGAAAGCCAACAAATTTTTCTGCTTTTTTCTCCCTTGTTTTTGCATATGATTTACAGATACTTTTCGTATTCACTTGTCACATATCAAAAAGTTTCTTTACTTTTCCCTGAAACGACGTTAACCATTCCGGTACAGTCGGTCTAACCAGTCGTCTTTATCTAACACAAAACTTTCGATAATAAATGCATAAGTAACATTTCACTAAGGCTATCATTTGCTGAAATGATGGATGATGACCATTATCACTAAGTTAAATAGTTATAGCATTTTTATAAAATATACCTGTTGGTGAATAATTTCGATGCTATAAATGATGTTGAATAACTGATAAGAGAATGACAAAATATAAAACCATATGATGAAAAGTAGAAGTGGAAAAGAACTTCATATACCTTATCAGTGCATATCATAGGCAAATAAATGGGAATTTCCTGCGTAAAAATGGGTAAAACATAAACCATATACACATTTATGTATATATATATGTGTACACTCAAATGTATGTATATCTAACTCTTCAACAACTATCACAAATGTGATGAGTAACTGATAACAGTTCTACAGCTGATAACTGCTTGTTGCTACTAAGCCAATGAAAACAATGAATGAAAAAGAACAACATGTGAAGACCATTACATTTCTGTTAATCATTTTTGGGATTTACGATTGAAATAATTATTATTATTAATAGTT